AACTAAATTACATGTCAGGGGCTTGAAAATACCTGGAGAAGGGAGGCGGGGAGATGCTAAGGAAGGACAATTAAGCACTTCCAGTGCTGAGTGTACCGCAGAGCCCGTTTACTGTACCCACCTACCTTCTTGGACAGCTTGCGGGTATCTTCAACAAAGCGCTTTTCTCTGGGAGTAAAGGTCCTAATACTTGCTTTGACCTAGAAAGACATCATTGTTTAAAGGGGGGGAGGGGCAACATTTAAATGGACTTCACTCTTCTCTTTGCCTTGTTAATGACTGGGAAGAATGTGGAAACCAGGATCTTCTGACCCTAGGGCCAAGGGCCTTTGGCCAGGAGCGGAGTGATGGGGGACACAGGGAGGACACCCCTGAGCTCTGCGTGTGTTCCTGGGGATCTCATTTCACCAGCACACTTGGGTAGGTCAGACTGGATTCAGGAGACTCCAAGAGTGTTGTATCCACTTTGCAAATCAATGGATGTATTTTAAAGCACTGAGGAGGTTGAGTTCAGGAGGCTCTGGAACCAGTTTCTAAGAAATAAAACTTCCTTCCCATCAAGGTTTTGAACAATATTTTCACCAATAATATCTTGTCTGTGAAAATCTGTTTCCTGCTTATAAAAACATCTTTCCACAGAGAATCTCATTTCCTTTCAAGTCTATGGAAAAGTAAGTAGATGAATTGAGACCCATTTTATGGGGAATAAACTGAGGCTCAGAGAAGTTTAGTGGCTTGTCCCAATCACCGTACTGAGGAAAAGCTCAAAGAATAAAATTCAAGTCCCTCTCCACTCCATAGGATGGACAACTGGAAAATGACACAACGGACATATTTTCTTGGTTAAGCCTTCTTCCCTAAAACTCAGGTTTTACCTGTGTGCATAGACTATATACAAGTGCTTGCTCGAAGGAAGCAGGAAATGAAGGGTCATCGGTGGTACAAGATGCACAGAGGATTTCCTTGAAGGGAAAGCGAACTCAATGGGAAAAACGAGGGAGTAACACCACCACCTCCAGACTGGAGACTAAAAATATAAAAATGTCCCTGCCATTGATTTTATGAATAATTTCTTAAATACACTAAACAAGAAGCAGGGTAGCATAGGAATCATTGCAGAATCAGAAAGATCTGGATCTGTATGCTGACTCACTCACTTATTTGTAAATCAGTTCTCTAACTCCATTTGCTCATCATAAAATGGCATTAATGATACCTATTTACCAGGTTTATTGTGAGGATTAAATGCAATAATGTCAGCGCCCGGCCCATTGTTGGTGGCCACTAAATGGCAGCCATTCTTATAATTACCGTAAAAGCTCCATTACCCTACATTCATTTATACCGCTGACTGGATTAACCTGTGCTCTCCTTTTCCCTTCTGGAACCTGCTGCTGATACCATGGCATATGCATGGTCACAGCTAAGTAGGGCACTTCTCTGCATGCTAAGGAATCTCTGCTCACAACAATCAAATCACAGGCCTACCGAGAATCAACTTTTGCTAACTACCAATCTTGTTTCTGATGGTTTTGCCCATTATTATAATTCCGTATTTTAATCATTGAAATCCAAGCATGGACCAGAAGACTTGAAATTTGTGTTGCTCTAGAAAGCCTTGATAAAGGTCAGTCCCTAAAAAGATACTGAGGTAATGATTTTATGGGGAAAAAAAACAGTCTGGAAAATTCTATATTCAGATTCTTGTGTATCTTTAAAGTAGATCTCCACTTTAAAAAAAAAAACCTGAAACTAGATATTATTATAGATGTTATGAGTATATTTATGCAAGGAATATGTTATAAAACTAAACATAATAAATCCATGGTATAAAAAACAGATTTTATGCCCATAGCTAAAGATTGGCAAATGAGTATTTACATATTTTATATTAAACTTAAGGTTGAAGACAGGTTTTAAAAATTGCTCCTTTAACTGTAGCTTCCAGATGAGTAACTACTTCTCTTCATAGTGTTGGATAGCAGGACATCTATTGTAACAACTAAATTACATGTCAGGGGCTTGAAAATACCTCTGTCTGACACCAACTGTGGCCTTCGAGAAGATTATCGGAAATAAAGCTAACAAACTAATTTCTCCTTTCATTTTTTTATTTATTTTTTCCTTGACATTTAGATGTACTGGGAATTAAACACCGTCATTTCTACTGGGTCAAGGGGATTAATACCAGTTGAAACCTGAATTGTCCCTCACTGATTTTATAGTTGAGGTTGAAAACCCTGTTCTCTCTCTCTAGCTGCAATATGTGTGAAACATTTTACAGGTATTTGAGATTTGAGTGCTGCCAGGCTGGTCATCTTTTACTTTTGGTACAGAGAACCTGGGAGGTATGGCTGGCCCAGCTAGACTTACCGGATTATATATGAGGTCCATCTCCAAGTAAATAGCTCCTTTAAAAGCTTGTTCTAAATCTTTATTCTTCAACACGTAGCAATTTGGTTGTCCATCTCGAATCTGTCATAAACAATAGATAAAATATCAACTTTCTAGGGGGTTTAAACTGAACTGGCAAAGTTGAGACTGTACAATACACACACAGATGAAGTAGCTATTCAGCAAATATCAAACCCATCATACATCAACTTTAAATTCTAGAATGCTGTTATAACTGATAAGAAGATAAAGTAACAACCTACAGGCTGACACTGAGTTATTAATGGAAAATCAGTGGTACAAATTATTAGTAGGTCTATATGGGCTTTCCTTCAAAAATCCCAGAGGTTATACATTTTCAATTATTAAAAATGATAAGTACTCTACAAAATTCCTGGCCAGTACTTCTCAAGATTGCCAAGGTCATGGGAAAAAGGAAAGACTCGGAAGCTGTCACAATTCAGAAGACAGAAGGAGATAAGATGATTAAATACGATGTGGTACACTGGGTTGGATCCCAGAACAGAAAAAGGACATTAATGGAAAAACTGGCAATATCCAAATAAAGACCAAAGTTTAGTGAACAGTAATGCACAATGTCTGTTTTCTTTTTTTAGTTTTGTAAATGTACCATGGCAATGTGAAGAGTTAGCATTAGGGGAAACAAGGTCAGGGGTATCTAGGAACTCTAGATTATCCTAACAACTTTCCTCTAAATCTAAAATTACCCCAAAATAAAGAGGTCATTAAAATATTTTTTTTAAGAAACGAACAAAGGAACTGATTTTAATAAGATACTCAGTGTTTCACAGCCATGGAGCAATGCAAATTAAATCCATGAGCATAGCTGAAGCTGAGGTCAAAATCCAAAGATATTTACAATGCACAGAACGCTGAGAAGTTTTCGAAATAAGCAAGTTCCTCTGATATCCTCTCTCAGCCAGTAGGTCACATCACTTCCATATCCTAATCTGCCAGTGGACCCCAACACGTAAGGCATCCCAGAAAAACACCTCCTGTACCATTTTGGAAATGATGTGGGTCCCATCAAGGCCTTCTCTTTCCAGATTCTAGAGCAGCCATGCTTTTATGATTACACAGCAGTCTCTGCATTGATTAAACTTCTGGCTTGTAAGAAGCATCCCTGTTAACTCCAAAAGGACATCAGCAAAACTTGAACTAACCAAAAGCTCCACTTGAGATTATAATGATCAAAGATTTGAAATAATGTAGGAAATTTGAGGGCATGAAATTTGAGCCATATTTTAACTGACTATTGCTATTACTACAAGCATTCAGCGCAAGTGTTCTTATAAACAGCGGTGGAAATGAGTTGAATAAGTCATGGGGGAAACAGAGCCATTCCACTTTACAAGGGAGAGGTCACCTTCCTTCCCAAAGTCACCCCACCTCTCAGATTGAATAGGTTTTAAACAGAAAGATGGTTTTCCTGGCCAGTGGCTAAGAGGAAGGGGGTGCCCCATAAAGACCTGGTTTCCTTCCTAAACGGTGTCCAAACAGGATTCTGAGCTTCCTCTTTTATCCACAATCTCACTTAATAAATTGTGGGTGTTAAAGTTGAAAGAAATAAATACAAAAACAGCATGACAATTTGCCAACCTGACTTCAGTCCAATTTAGCTGTGTCTCAACCCACAGTCATTGTACTGTTATCTTAAAATTTCCATGATTTCTTAAGGGTTAGGAAAGGTCAACAGAAGAACATGAGGTATCAGTAGAAAAATATATTTTATAGTTTTTTTTTTTTTTTTTAGTTTTTGATTTTTTGTAAATGATCTTTTCCTCTTTTTCAATGTCCTAGTATTGTGTCAGCAAAACACAGAATCCACCCAGGGACATTAAATCAGTTATTAAAGCTAGAGATATAGCATAGGCTATTCATGTTGGGTACTTTCATATAATATTATCTTAAAACTTGTCAATTGCAAGTTTACACATTTGTAGAAAGTTTGAAAAATTACAGAAAAAAAAACGAAAGTCCCTTTGAACTTCCACAAATATCACAATTCCTTCCCCGCATAGAAATTAGATAGGCATTTGGCATGTATTCTTCCTAAATTTGTATTGAGAATTTATATTCATAAATCCTTGAAAAAAGTAATTTAAAGTTTTTGCCTGTGTGAAACTGTATTTTGCAACCTCACTTTGTATCTATCAATGCGATTTGATAATGTGTATGCAGTATACAGATCTGCTTTTCTTTAAACTGCTACAGAATATTCAGAATATGAACTTATTAATTTATTAATTCTTCTATTGATGAACATTTGGTTGATTCCAATTTCTCAGTCAGTCTGCTATAAGGAGTATCGTTTTAGAAAAGGGAAAAAGGAACGGAAAGAGGAAATATCCTACTTTGTATTGGGATACGTTTAAGAGCAGGTCAATGTATTTGAATATTTAGTATTATAATTAAAAATGGAAATAATAATCAATGGGACTATTTTTAAAAGATTTTCATTTTTCACAGTCTTTATATAACTGAACTTCCAACACAAGAATATAGGATAAAAAGTTCTGTAACATCTCAACTTGCCAAACTGCTGTATGGCAGCATCTGTATTACAGAAAAGAGAAGCTCACCATATTTTTCCTGTCAAGAGAATTATGTTTATCATTTATACCTAGAACACAGAAAATCGGGACGCCTGGGTGGCTCAGCTGATTAAGCATCTGCCTTTTGCTCAGGTCATGGTCCCAGGGTCCTGGGATCGAGTCCTGCATTGGGCTCCTTGCTCAACAGGGAGCCTGCTTCTCCCTCTGCCTGCAGCTCCCCCCTGCTTATGCGCTCGCTCTCTCTCCCTCTCTCTGCGACAAATAAATAAATAAAATCTTAAAAAAGAAAAAAAAGAAAATCATTTCTGGCAGTCTATGCTTATAAAACCTCTATTAAATAGTAGGGCAGCTAAAACACAGCCAAAAGAAAATTTAGAGCCAAGAATCTTACATACTTTCGTCTTTTAGGTATGAGACAGTCACTTAAATTAAGACCTAAGCTTAAGTTTTAGGTCTCTGTTGATTAAGGCAAAAAGGAATGATACAGTTTTCAATTTGTGACCAAAGGAGGTCTCTAAGTTCATTTGGAGAGTCTTCTTGAGTTGACATCTGGGATGATTTAGTTTCACTCCAAGATAAGGGTCATTGAATAAAATAATAGACAATGTCTTAAACCCATTATGACAAAATTTTTCAGATTGACTTATCACACACATTTTTGCATGCTCGCCTATTCACAGGTGAGGAGCACAGATATTAGGCAATCATTTGGGGAAGGCACCTCTGCAGAACAGTAATACAGATCTTATCTAATTAGAAATCTGACTTCAACAATCAGGGAAATGGGCATTTGCATGTCCCTTTCTTTTCATGAACAATGTATCAGAAAGCTTTTATCAAGCACATGCTAACAGTTAATTCCTGGTTAAATGAGCCATTGAATACAAAGGTACAGGAAGTCTGTTTCTGAGTAATGATTCAGGATTCTGGAGCCAGAGGACAAGTTACAGAGAAGATAGTCTGGTTTAGATTTTAATCTGACCTGAAATCATCTTTATTCAAATTTTTTCTACTTACAATAATTTTAAATCTTCTTAAATATGCTTTAGCATCGTAAATATGAGTAACTTTTAGAAAGTTGGGTGAATAAACTGATTTTTTAGTCAAAAAGATACTACGTTCATTTTTTAAAAGACAGGATTTTTTTAAATCAGCGTATAACAGAAGTTGGTTATGTGGAACAGGGAACAAAATCATTTTCTCATCTCGAACTCTCTTTAAAGAATTATCATTATTATGCTTTGCTATAAATTTCCTTGATGTGACCAGTTACCAACTGATGCAACAGAAAAGCTAATCAGAATCAATATGCATAAATAAATCCATCAATTGGTTTAGGGAGGGAAGATACATATTTAAGAGCAAAATCCAAACTGAGGAGTCCTACTGATTCCGCCCAGCTTGACCCTCATGTGAAAAAGTGGAGAACATCTGGGTATAAACAAGCATGCTGCTAATCAGACACTTTTCTTTCCATGCAAAGGGGGAAATACTTTAATGTGACAACATCACAACAGTTGGTCCCAGCTGATGCACAGACAAAATGACTCTCAAATAAAATATGAAGAGGACAGACATGAGGCTGGGTCAGAGGAAAATAAATACTCTTTAATTGGTACTGATTCACATTCATATCCCTACTTGGAAGCAGGTCTGCTTCCAACGGCATGAGTGGCAAACAGCATGGGAAATTACAATGCCCACAAGGTTATTATTTGCCCGGACACAAAGTCAACCACCAGCCAGTGGAGATGGTATTGAATTCATTACCCCAGGCCCTCACCACTTACATCCCACCCCTCCTCTCTTCCAAGGCCATCCATCCCACCCAACACCCAGCTCTGAACCTTGGAAATGACAGAAAACGTTGGTGTACCCAGCATTTATCAACTCCCCTCTCTAAAATATAAGCTATCTTCCAAAAGTAATATATATTAATTATAAGAATTGTGTAAAATTTATAAAAATGGTTTAAAAATGCTTTTACAATATATTATTTTAAGCAAGTAAACACATCTCTAGTTTTTAATGTACATTTATATTTATTTATCTTGTGAAAATAGGATCGTAGCGTATTGGATAAAATTTGGGACTTCAGAGACAGATGAACTGAGTTTAAATTCCAACTCTGCCTCAAATCGGCTGAATAAGTTTGGACAAGTTACAAAACTCCCTCTGCTTGTCAGTTTCCTAATCCGTAAAATGTGAATAAAAAATGATACATATCTCAGAGGTTGCTATGAAATAATCAGCAGAAAGCAGTCAAGGACAGTGACAAGTAGAAACTGCTTGTTAAATAATATCTTTTAGTCTTATATTAATTTATATACTTTTTAATCACTTGTCTTTTAGAGTAAAAAAAAAAAAGCATAAGAAACATTCCCCAATGTAATAACAAACTCTTGTATATAACTTGGAATAGTGCTTCACTTTATGAAGATTCTACAATTAACCAATCCTTCATTGTAGATCACTAAGGCTCTCTCCAATTTTTAACTGTAAACA